CCGTCGGCAAAACTGCTGAGTTCTGTCGACATTTATGGCGACAGAACTCGGGGGTCGTGTAGACGCAGGGATACTTTTGTCGACAAAACCCTGTAGTCTAGACACATCCGTGTGTGTAGGGCCATGCCTGGCAGTTTGGGAAAGGCAACGCCTTCCCCTGCCCAGCATACCGGCCGCCCCGAACCCAGCCCCAAGCTTGGCACCGTGACTGCAGAGGAACAGCAGCCTGGAGGGTCAATGGAAAGGAGACAGAGCAGAGCTCCAGCCACGTGTGTGGCACAAAAGCGGGGGGAGGGTTGGCTCCTCTGCAACTTGCTGTATTTGTGAGCCCTTGGCCAGGAATTCAGTTGCTCAGTTGATCCGAGAGGAGCAGGGCCTGTGTGCTTTGTACCTGGGTAGCATGGATCAGAGTACTGCCATAGGCCACCCTTATTTTAAACTGAGGTTTAGTTTTAAAGCAGGATGCATTACTCGCCTATTAAGGAGAGTGTTGGTTTATTCAAATTTCGGGTTAGTCCTGCGCATCGTGCTCTATTTAAACTCAAGGTACATATAAATACATTCTGCGTTAATTTAAGCCTCCTGAGCATGTTTACCATGGAAAAGCTGTTCTTGATGCCTCTATGCTGCACGGCTTTGAGTGCAACAAGCTAATTATAAGTTGACATCATCTTGCTAAAAACAAAATGCATGTTTGTTCCTTCTGCATGGCCTGGGTTTCGCAACCCGGTTTCCAGCACTCAGGAACACCAGGGGCTTAACTGGATAGACACGAAAGCAGACGATTCTCAAAAGGTGAATCACGCAAGGCGCTGGCATGGCCAGCGGATTGTTGGTGCCACATGACTGTTCCTCTTTCACTAAACAACACAGCCGCCGGAAAAAATCCTGCTTTTATCAATGCATGATAGAGATGAGCCATAGTAATGAATGAATGTCAGGCAGCAAAGAGGAATCCGGGACGTCCCAGGGTTGGTACGTGGGAGAATTCTTTTTGCTTCCTCACTGCTGTGACTCGGAAAAAAAAATGGGGAAAGTACAAAGCGGCAGAGGTAATGACCCTGAAGGGTAACAGCTGCCTGAGATGGGGTTTGTAGCCGGTGGCAGGGTGGAAGCGGCGTTATGCCTCGTGGAATGAGGTTTGCCAACATCAGGCAAAGCCCTCCATTATTTCGATTTTCTTTCAAAATAACACAATTGCTGTGTGGGCGCTAGTATTGTTTAGCCAGAATAACAGCCATTATTCCAGAGCCAGGTAGATACACCCTGAGATCTCCCCACAGTTCATCCTGAGCAAGCTCTCCCCTGTAAAGCCAACAGCCTGTCAGCAGGAGGAATTGACCCTACAACCTTGGGGACTAAGGCCCCCCTGCTGCCACCACATGAGCTAGAAGCCAGCTGCTGCTTGGTTAAAGCTGTTGTCCCTTGTCTCAGTGCCTCTGGGTTACACATGGATGCAATTTCCATATTCTGTAAGGGCAGCCAAGGTGCATACGTGAGAGCCGATAGGGGGACTCTGTTGTGAAAATGGGGGAAAGTCCTTTGCTTGAGCAGCAACGGACTTTCCAATACTTCTGAATACAAAGGCGTTGGGAACAACCTGAAAGCTCACGGCCTTCCTGGTTTTTGGTGGCGCTAGCCGCTGGGGGATGTGTGAGCTGGGAGGCATAACCCACTCAGCAGGGAGCTGGTGCTGCTATATGGGACAGTGCACCACATCCAGGCAGTATTTGCAGAATTCAAGATGGCTTACAGGTTGAATAATGCGTGTGCTCTACAGCAGTGGTCACCAGCCAGTTGATCAGGATCTACCGGCAGATCTTGGAACCTTTGACAAGTGATCCTGACTGGTTTGGCTGACAGGCTATCAAGTGGTGGCACTTCATCTGCCCCTTTCAGCACTACCATGCTGCTCCTGGCCTCTGCCTTGGAGGTCCCCTCACCCCTGGGAGCCTCCTGAAGAGGAAGGGCGGGTGCTGATGTCAGGGTGCTCCTCCCTCCGCTCTGTACCCCATCTCCACAGAGCAGAGAGGGGGCAGGATGAAGAGAGTTTGCTAGCTGCTTTTGGGAGTGGTGCAGGGCCAGTGGTGGGGGTAAGCCTCCCTTAGGCCCCTGCACCACCACCCAGAGGCCACCTGTGGTAAGTGGTGCCCAGCTGGAGCCCGCATTCCGAACCTCGGCCCCAGTCCTGAATCGCTCCTGCACCCCAAACCCCTGCCCGTAGCCTGATAAAAGTGAGTGAGGATGGGGGAGGGAGGATAGAATAAGCAGGGGCGGGGCCTTGGAGAAGGGGCAGGAAGGAGGCAGGGCAAAAGTGTTTGGGTTTGAGGTAGCTCACTTTTTGAATTTAAGTGCAATCCAGGATCTATGCTTAAAAAGGCTGGAGACCCCTGCTCTGCAGCCTTACCTACCAGGGAGCTGGCTTTGCACTGATGTGGAAAGCTAGTGTCGCGTGTTGTAAGCTACAGAGGTCCTAGGTTTGATTCCGCCTGCAGACGACAGGGGCCTGTTGGCATCCCACCAAGCCTTTCCTTCCCCGAGGAGGAAGAGAAATGAAAGAGATTAAAAACTCTCTGAACTACTTCACTGCCCAGGCAAAGCTTCTCCATAAAATGTCTGGTGTGGTAGAGACAGCAGCTCAGGGACTCTGTCTCCCTAGTGACCTTGGTCAGGCATTATGGGAGCAGATTCAAGCCCCCGATGCTTTATGGCAGAGAAGTATGCTTCCTGGGTTGGAACCACAGCTTATTCTGTGCTGTGATTTGTCCAAGGGAGCTGACCGAGGACTAGGATAACAGAGCACTGTGCTGCCCACATTGGTCACTCCTGGGAACTGAAGAATTTGCTTCTAAGATTGAGGGGTATGTTGAACCAGTTGTTCATAATGGACTTCACTGCAGCTAGGGGAGCCAGATCCAATGGTCCCTCTAATTTTTTTCCATCCAAATGCGGAATAAATATGTTATGTGCACCAAGGCATGCGCACCACCAGTAGAAACACAGGCTGCCAGCAGCGGGCGCACTGCTAATCAGCTGGGCTGCATTTGAATCTCTCTTGGGTTGCTGTCCAAGTGCTCAACTTAGAGGAAACACCGACCAGATCCCAGTACCTTTGCATCAGGCTTTCTTTGCCCTGTGACTTAAAAATTAACACAAGTCTTTGCTGTAGTTACTCATTGTCACTACTTTATTCACAATATATTTAAAATCTGAACCAACAGGCTAACATTTTGCAAGCGGTACTACTTCCCGTTCTCTACAAGGAAAAAAAAACTCAGCATAAATAATTTACATGAGAAAATAAATACATAATTCACTCTTTGAAACAATAGCTTTCACATTTAGATTCTGGTTCCACTTAAAATCATTGCAAAATCTAGCAAAGTGGTAAACTCACATTTTACAAGATTTGTACGTTAACTCTACACAGAAAATAAGAACAGCAAGAAATTATTTTCCATCCACATTTTGGATGCTGGGAGAGTACGGTTTGCAGTCCTACAGCATATGTACAGCATTTGAATATGAATTTTCCAATAATACGCTTTAATGTAAAAACACAAACACATGTATGAGTGGTGTGAAGTTATTTAAAAGGAAAGACACTGTCAAACTGGACAGCACATTGCCATGACTTCTCAGAAGGAATTCGCTGGTTTTCAAATTAGCAGAGGCTCACGCCAATGTCGACCCAGCCCCTTGCCCTCAGAACCTGCCATGCCCAGTCCAGCACAACAAAGCATATGGTCAGATGATCCAAACTTTGCAGAACAGAGAACCTAAGAAGCTGTCATCTCAATGGGGATGCTAAAGTCAATTTGCTTTGGGAGGAGTAAGGCAAAACTCAGTACCCTGTGATCCTGTTGGCCCCCACGATAAAATTACTTAGCTGTGTTAGAAGTCGTTTGAAAGACTCCAGGAAAAATATGTATGTCCCTCAAGCAAACATGATTTGGGGATGCATTAACAGGAATGTTGTGAGCAAGACCCGAGAAGTCATTCTTCTGCTCTGCTATGTGCTGATTAGGCCTAAACTGGAGTATTGTGTCCAGGTCTGGGCACCACATTTCAAAAAAGATGTGAAGAAATTGAAAAAGGTCCAGAGAAGCGCAACAAAAATGATTAAAGGTCTAGAGAACATGAGCTATGAGGCAAGACTGAAGGAAACGGGCTTGTTTAATTTAGGAAAGAGAAGATTGAGAGGAGACATGATAGCAGTTTTCAGGTATCTAAAAGGGTGTTACAAGGAGGAGGGAAAAAAATTGTTCTCCTTGGCCTCTGAGGATAGGACAAGGAGCAATGGGCTTAAATTGCAGCAAGGGAGGTGTAGGTTGGACATTAGGAAAAACTTCCTAACTGTCAGGGTGGTTAAACGCTGGAATAAATTGCCTAGAGGGGGTTGTAGAAGCTCCCTCACTGGAGGGCTGTGTCTAGACTGGCCAGTTTTTCTGGAAAATCATCCGCTTTTCCGGAAAAACTTGCCAGCTGTCTACACTGGCTGCTTGAATTTCCACAAAAGCACTGACTTCCTACTGTAAGAAATCAGTGCTTCTTGCAGAAATACTATTCTGCTCCCGTTCAGGCAAAAGTCCCTTTTGCGCAAAGCTTTTGTGCAAAAGGGCCAGTGTAGACAGCTCAGATTTGTTTTCTGCAAAAAAGCCCTGATCGCGAAAATGGCGATCGGGGCTTTTTTGCGGAAAAGCGCGTCTAGATTGGCACGGATGCTTTTCCGCAAAAGCACTTTTTGCAGAAAAGCGTCTGTGTCAATCTAGAGATAGAAATGTAGCCATGTTAGTCTGGTGTAGCTGAAACAAAATACATAGTCCTGTATTTTGTTTGTGCCAATCTAAACGCTCTGTTCTAAAAATGCTTTTAACGGAAAACTTTTCCGTTAAAAGCATTTCCGGAAAATCATGCCAATCTAGACGCAGCCGAGATGTTTAAGAGCAGGTCAGACAGACACCTGTCAAGGATGATCCAGATAGTGCTTGGTCCTGCCAGGAGGGTAGGGGACTGGACTTGATGATCTCTCAAGGTCCCTTCCAGTTCTATGATTCTATGATTCTATGATATAACTTTAAAAGATAGAGTTATGGGGCTTGGAAGGGAGCTGCCATGGGCCATCTGCCTTACACTCTAGCATGTGAGCATGATTGGTTTCAATATAAGAACATAAGAACGGCCACACTGGGTCAAACCAAAGGTCCATCTTGCCCAGGGTCCTGTCTGCCAACAGTGGCTAATGCCAGATGCTCCGGGGGAGTGAGTCCAGCCCCCTGCCCAAAGCAGGACATGCTGTTCATGCTAACTCACAGATTACTGACTCTTCTGTTGTTTCCCTCCTATCATTCCTGTCCTGCCTGACGGACTTTAGAGAGGACCTTCAAGGCTCTGTTCAGACAAATTAAGGATAACGACCTCTTGCAAAGTGTAATATACGGAACAGTCACAATAAAACCTTTGCTTCCTCTGCCTTCTGTAGTGTGCACACCACAAAACCCCATGCAAATTCCCCGGCGAACGCTCCTTGCAGATTGAATTTAGGTGCTGCTCCCACCAGCTCAGTTTCTCTCTTTCATCAGACCACAGCTGCTAAAATCTGATCGGTTTGGACTACAAGAGCCTTTGACCTAGCCGTGAAGGAGGAATGGGAGACCACTGCATTCAGGACTTTCCTCTGTGGCCTGTCTCTGCCATTTGGTGAAATGCAAAACTATCCAGAGCTGCTGGGCTGTACCTCTCGGAAGGGACCTTCTAGTAGGCGTTTTCGAGTTCCGGCTGATTGGATTTGCTGCTCCTCGCTCTGGAGAGACGCGGCTTCTTGTTCTTCGGAGGCCGGGCGGTTTCCTTCGCAAACTCCTTCAGCTCGGACTGGTTGTGGTAGCGAGTGTAGCGCTTGCATTTACAGGCGGTGACCGCTCGGATTTTGTGAGTCCGAGTCTCTTCCTCGGGGCAGGCCAGCTGGATGCGCTGGGTCCGGGCGTGTGCGGGGACGCAGCGGTAATCCAGGGCACTTTGGCGCCACCATTTCCCTCTGCCAATAGAGTTAGGGAGGAGGTGGGAGGGGACACACTGGCCTGAGCAGACCAGCTCCTTCATGGGCTTGACACTGCGGCAGGGCCCATCAGTGACATACCGGGTGAAGCGCAGCTCTCTGCAGGTGAAATCGGAAGCATCTGCAAAGAGAAAACAAACTAGTGACCCTTCTTGTTCAGCGCTGCCTCTCACCTCCTGCGGCAGCTGAAATCCAGCACCAAGGCCTCAAAACCAGCCCACTTGTACTCATAATTGTACTAGGAAACCCCAGAAGGAGACGGGAAGTCAAGGAAGCATCACCTGCAATTTTCAGGGAAAGTTCTCTCCTACCCAGGGAGCTGCTCACCAGGGGTAGGTCTAGACTACGTTTTCCTTTCGAAAGAAGATATGCAAATTCAGTGGCAATTTGCATATCTTCTTCCGATTGCTTTTTCGAAAGGGTTTTGGTTTTGGTTTTTTTTTGAAAAAGCAAGCATTTTAAAAGAACCTTCTTCCTCAAAAATTAAGGTTTACAGGTTCTTTCAAAAAAAGATTTTAAAAAAATGCATCTAAACTGCTTGATTTTTTTTAAAAAGCTATCAGATTATATGCAAATTACCGCCAAATTTGCATGTCTTTTTTTGATAGAAAAACGTAGTCTTGATGTACCCCAGGCGGGAGAAAGATTGAGACTGCCACAAAAAAACTTCTGCTTCTCTTTCCATTAGATACTGAACAATTAGGCTGGCTCTACACCAAACCCTGCCTTCAAACACCTGTGCACTGCAGGGGATGGCACAGCGCAATCTACTATATAGTAGTTACAAGCTGGGGACCAACCAGTTAAGTAGTAGTTCTACAGAAAAGGACCTGGGGGTTACAGTGAATGAGAAGCTGGATATGAGTCAACAGTGTGCTCTTGTAGCCAAGAAGGCTAATGGCATATTGGGTTGCATTAAGAGGAGCATTGCCAGCAGATCCAGAGATGTCATTTTTCCCCTTTATTCGGCTTTGGTGAGGCCACATCTGGAGTATTGTGTCCAGTTCTGGGCCCCCCACTACAAAAAGGATGTGGACGCATTGGAGAGGGTCCAGCGGAGGGCAACCAAGATGATGAGGGGGCTGGAGCATATGACTTATGAGGAGAGGCTGAGAGATTTGGGTCTGTTTAGTCTGCAGAAGTGAAGAGTGAGGGGGGATTTGATAGCAGCCTTCAACTTCCTGAAGGGAGGTTCCAAAGAGGACGGAGAGAGGCTGTTCTCAGTAGTGACAGATGGCAGAACAAGGAGCAATGGTCTCAAGTTGTGGTGGAAGAGGTCCAGATTGGATATTAAGAAAAACTATTTCACTAGGAGGGTGGGGAAGCACTGGAATGGGTTACCTAGGGAAGTAGTGGAGTCTCCATCCCTAGAGGTATTTAAGTCTCGGCTTGACAAAGCCCTGGCCAGGTTGATTTAGTTGGAATTGGTCCTGCCTAGAGCAGGGGGCTGGACTTGATGACCTTCTGAGGTCTCTTCCAGTTCTATGGTTCTATGATTCTATGATATACGTGAGAGAGTTTATCCATTTGTCTGTCTGGTTGTTCGAGAACGGCTCCTAAATGGTAAGAGCTAAGGCCACCAAATTTGGTCTGCAGTGTCCCATTAGCATAACTCAAAGCACGGTCAGGGTTTGGTTGTGCTAGGACAATAGGATGTGCCTGGAATGGCATTGTTGCTCGTAAAAACAGAAAGGAAGGGCTGTGCTTGCAGGGATAGTTATTCTTTATAATGACCACAAGGGGGCAGTAAGGGGGCAGAGATGGGAACCAGGACGGCTAGAACCCCGTTGGGCCAGCAGGGGGCAGAGGTGGAGAAAGGGACAGCATTCTACTATGTATTTGAGAGAGTTTGTCTGTTTGTGTGTCTGTCTGTCTCCCAGCCTGAGGACATGCACCCCTTCCCCCGACTGTGCCCGTTCAGCAGCCATGAAGGGGCGCTTCTCACCTGGCCCCACGCTGCCGTGGTGAAAGAGGGTTGTCCCCTCTCCCTGAGGACGCCTGCATCTTGAGCCCCTCAGCCCCAGCCCCAACCCAGAGCAATGATCGAAATGAAGCAAAACAAAACGTATCTGAGTTCAGGATCCGAGCAACGCCGGGTAAACCTTCTAGGATTTGTCTATCCAAGAGATACACCCCACATGGAAAAGGCATATCAGGTGTGACATGGGAAAACAAGGGCATCAAAAAGGAACCCAAGGGGACGTGCAGGAAGCTGAGGCAGGAATCAGAGCATTCCGAAGCGTTGCCCGCTCTGGGCAGAAATAAAGAAATAATTTCTGCTCATTTCCACCCACGTGATTCTGGAGTCAGACCACACGACTCAGAGGGGGTGGGCTGCAGGTGCAGCTAGTTATCGAGTGCCCAACTTTCTGTGCATAAACTCTCAACTATAGATTGTTAGAAATTGTCTGTGCGTCTGAGCTGTGTGTCCTGAGCGGCTGGCTGAGGAGGAGCAGCCCAGGAGTAACCTTAGCTTTAAGCTCCCCTCTTTGCATTTCCAATTTTGGGATGTGGTAGGGGCTCCTCATATTGATGGTGGCCTTGTGATGCCATCTATGGTGGCTCCCCTGGTGCAGATTAGGAAGAGTCCAGTGAGCTCCAACAATGTCGGAGAATCAACAGACTCCACTCCTTCCTCCTTTAAGCCACTTATGGGTTCAAAACCTTCTCTCACTTACACTAGTTTAACGCCACTGATCTCCATCACTCACTCCAGACTTCACCTGGAGTAAGCAAGAGCTAATCTTGGTCCAGAGTTTTGGTGAAAATCGAATTGAAAATTCTCACAGCCAAATTCTGCTGCACTTTTGCCACTGTACCCTCACTTAGCCGGCCTTAATTCCCATCTCTCAGAGCACCCCTTAATTCACCACTCAATTGGCGGTCCAGGCCTCTCCCTCGCGGTTCTAATCCTGCAGCATCCATGTCATTTCCTTCCACCAGAGAAAGGCATCTTCTGCCAATTCAGAAACCTTACCAGGCTTTGGCTTGTGCTTTTACAGATTACCAGAAGCAAGGGAAACAGTAGAAAATGTGAGATTTTAACTCTAAGGATTTCGAAAAGCAAAGAACGTTCCAGTTAAATAATTTATACTTCAGATGCATTTCTTATCAGAACCTGGAACAGGGCTCCTTTCTGGCTTTGCTCAATCAACATGCTTAGCTCTAATGTATGAACATTGATTGCAAAGGCTGTTTAGCAAATAAGGTTTTGAACTTTCTCTATATGAACACAATTTATTGCTCTCATCCAAGCAAAAGAAACACACGTAGCACAAACACTATTTTAATTGTGGCAACCACTTATTGATCCAAATTGCGTAGCTTATTTTGAGTGCATTTCGAAATAGCTTATTTTGTAATTCGACATTATGAAATAAACCACTATTCTGAAATGTCCCTTGATCCTCATGGAATGAGGTTTACAGGAACATCGGACTAGTGTGCCGTTATTTCAAAAGATATTTCAAAATAACGGGCATGCTGTCAAGACATGGAATAGCTATTTCGGGACACCGGAAGTATCCCAAAATAGTGCACAGTGTAGACGTAGCCTAAATGTCTTAGTGATGTCATATTTTTAGACACATGTTTCTCTTAGTGAATTTTTAAGGATCTTCCCCTATGCTACAAAAACAGCAGGTTTTTTTCTGGACCTACCAGCGCTCTGCTTTCTGGATGTATGTACCTAAAAAGGTATTACAAAGAGGAGGGGGAAAATTTATTCTCCTTAACCTCTGATGATAGGACAAGAAACAATGGTCTTAACATGCAGCAAAGAAAGATTAGGTTGGACATTAGGAAAAATGTCTTAATTGGTGGTGAAGCACTAGAATAAATTGCCTAGGGAAGTTATGGAATCTCCATCACTGGAGATTTATAAGAGCAGGTTAGACAGACACCTGTCAGGGATGGTCTAGATGGTGCATGGTCCTGCCGTGAGGGCAGGGGACTGGACTTGATGCCCTCTCGTGGTCCCTTCCAGTTCTAGGATTCTGTTATTCGATGTCTCTTTGTCCAGACTTCCGCCCCAACTTTGTAAAACACTTTGCACAAATGTAACGATACACCCGTCCCATGGCAGTCTGGGAGGGAACTGTGGCTGTGCAAATATGCTGTGTGGTTCAGCCAGAGCATTTAAGAAATTAAGTTTTCACTTGGGTAATCCTAATACTCTGGACTCTGGCCTTTTCTGCCAACTCAGCAGTGGGATGCTGCTGATGTATTAGACACCTTGGGCCATGCCTGAGCCAGGTGCTGCTTCTGTTGACACACACCCTGTGCTTACGGGCATGTTGAACCCACCTCAGCACTAGTCTCAGAGAGCCTCAGTCACAGGTCAGATGTCCCCACCAGAAATGAGTCCTTTCTCTACCCGGCTCCCACTGTGACTAAGTCCTCCCCCCCCCCCGACCCCTACGAAAGACACTGAGGCAGCCGTACAAGTGTATAGCATTCCTTGAGAGAAGCCCAAGTCTCTTTGGGGGGTGGGGGCCTGGAATATAAATCCCCCCCTTCCAAGTCCTAAGGGGTCCCTGCCTGTCAGTAGCAGGGAGGCAGTTAGCACAAGTCTAAGGTAGCAAGAGAGACTTTTTTCCTGACTGTAGGACTAAATCCACCATTGAAGATGCTGGCTTTGCTGCTAGGTTGGGCAGCCAACGCTGGGGCGGGGCAGGAGCGTTCCATGGGGCTGGGCTGGGAGGAGGGAATTGTGCCCTTTCGTGATGGGGAATAAATTTTGTGATGCGCACCGAGGCATGTGCGCATGCGCCACCAATAGAAACACTTGCTGCTGGCTGTGGGTGGTGGTGGGTTCTCTGTTAATCAGCTGGGCAGCATTTGAATCTCTCCTGGGGGGCCGTCCAAGCATTCAGGAGAAGAGAGAAGACCCTTCCAAGTGAAAGGTGCAAGGCATGGTGGGTGTGGGCATTCTGCCCTGCATCTGCTCCGGGACCACATACATTTCAGTCTGGGGTGGGGGGGGTCAATCTGGCACCTTTCACCAGCAGGCCCAAGCACTTGTGTTTCTGAGCCATTGGTGGTGTCAGATCTTTAGCAGATAGCTGTGGGACCATGCCAAGTTTCTTTCAGGGGGCCTCTTGATGTGGCTAGTTATATTTACAAAAAACACCCCCCCCCCCCACACATTTCAATTTATAAGGGGAGCATCCACATGACCAAGCCTGCTATTTTGAAAAAAACGGGCTGCTTCTTTCAAAATCTGTACTCCCGCTTTTCATCGGGAGTAACGCTCATTCTGAAATACCTATTTCGAAATAACGGTCGGGTGGACTCGCCGGTGCCACTATTTCGAAATAGCTACTCCCCAGAGTCATTCAAACTATTTACCCCCCAGCGCTTCCTGGGGCTCTACGTCTGAGGTAGCGCGTCCACATGAGCGGAGCCTCCCTCGGACGAGTTTCAAGGCTTCCCCGTCGTGTGGACACGCTTGTTCGATTTTGTTCAATCAGGAGCTTGTCAGTCAAATGTACCGATTTCAAAATCGTTGCCTCGTGTAGACGTGGCCTTAAATTATTCGTCCAAGTAGCAGCTCTACCCCACTGAGAGCTCCCAAGAGAATACATGCGACTCCCACTGAGCCTATAGCATTGTGGATTCCCTCGGGGAAAGCTTCACACTGCTAATAATAGGCTTCCATTGCCTGCTGGAGTCTGCCTAGATTAGAAGAAGAACAGCATTTTCCCCTCCTCTGATCTAACACCCATCACCGGAGTGCTCCTCCGTGAAGGTTTAACAATGCTCTCCTACCCACTCACCCGGTTTACAGCATGAGGACAGCAGCAAATCAGGTCATATTACTGGCTACAAAATATCTTTTATTGCCACCTTTCACCCGGGCCAGTTCAGCATCATACACCTCAATCTCGCAGCCACTCCGCTCACAGCTCCTAAGCTACTTATTTCTGATACTTTTACAGGGCTACACTGCATCTATGCTTGTCCAAAAGCCACTGTCACTTTGGTCACAGGACAGACCTTGAGATACTATTATGCAGCGGGCTTGGAAGCACCTACAGATAATTAAATGCAAAAGAGTTAGATATGGCTACATCTTATTTCCCTGGTGGGTCATAACCATTATTACTCGTCTCTGTTTAAGAGATGCCGTCGCAAATCACAAGCTAAAGAGGAGACTGACTTTGTTACCACTACAGCATTAGCAGTTCAGCGCTGGATCCCGTGTTCGTTCCTCACCCGACACACGAGCATAGGAACAGAAATCCCCACAGGAAGTTATGCTGCCAGGTTTGGGGGCTGCAATACAACGTGGTTAGTTTTCTTACCGTTTGGATCCAGAGGCTGCGGCGGCTGCCGGCCCCCGTGTTTCGCCTGGTTCATGGTGTTGTTGTTGTTGCTGTACGTCTCCTCCGCCGGGGTTTCTGTGTTTTCAGGGAGCTCCGGGATGATTTCTGTAGCATCGTTTTTAAACATTTGCCACCCTTCTACCGAGCGGACGGCCGTTTGGATCAGCACCCAGATGGAGCATGCAGCCCAAGAGATCTGCATAGTGGCAGCCCAGAGATTAGCCTTTCAGCCCTCTCCCAGTCTCAAATCCCAAGCAAAGGCAAATTATTCTCCTTTTTTAAATCCCTCTTAGAGCCAAGCCAGCCAATGACTTCACAAAGTGGGAAGGGCCAGACAAGTCATTCATCCCAGATCTGTCACCGAAGACCAGCAGGGACATGGGGGCGGGGGGAGGAGAGGCGAAGTGGTTTCTCCAAAACAGTCTACAACTTTTAGACACACACTTAAAAACTCATCCCTTGCTTCATTCTTCTGCCAGGCACTGGTGTCGACTGAACAGCCATACTGGCAGGGAGACTAGTCAGTCTGCAGCTTGTCACCGGCCTAACAAATATTTTCACAATGAAAAAAAAATGCTTCTTCCTTATTTGATTTCCCCACCGTTTCAGTGCTAAGTTCCCTAATAACTTCTCCTGGAAGCATGTGTCTGTGCTTTTTCTATTTTCAGCTATAAAATAAAGACACATTGGGGGAAGGAGCCAGAGGCGACACACTGTACAGCTTGATGGGCTGTTCCTCTCTTGTTGCATTTGCCTATGGGTTGTTGGTGCATTTTTAGACACTGCCCTCTGCTACTGGCCCTTGGCATAGATATCACCACGAGAGGGTTGCTGACTTTTAGATCCATGAGCGTGGCTAAACTGTGGTTTAAAAGCCATGGCTGCACTGCGGAGAAGAGATGACAAATGATCTGGTGAAGGCACTGGTCAGAGACGCAGGACAACTGTGTTCCAGCTCCGGTGCAGATTTCCTGTGTGGTGATTGGTGTCACATCACTAAGCCTCAGTTTTCCAGCTGCAAGCCGCAGACAATCATACTCCCTTCTTGCATGAGGTGTTGTAATACATTAATACTTGCAAGGTGCTTAGCTACAGGACCAAGGCACCAAGAGCTGTTTGCTTCAAGTGAGCTGCCGTGTGGGGAAACCTGGGTATGTTTCCTGGGTATGTTTCTGAGGGGGGATATGATAGAGGTCTATAAAATCATGAGTGGTGTGGAGAGGGCCGATAAAGAAAAGTTATTTATTAGTTCCCTAAATAGAACTAGCGGACACCAAATGAAATTAATGGGTAGCAGGGTTAAAACTAATAAAAGAAAGTTCTTCTTCACACAGCGTGTAGTCTACCTGTGGAACTCCTTGCCAGAGGAGGCTGCGAAGGCTAGGACTATAATAGAGGTTAAAGAGAAGCTAGATAATTTCATGGAGGTTAGGTCCATAAAAGGCTATTAGCCAGGGGGCAAAATGGTGTCCTTGGCCTCTGTTTGTCAGAGGCTGGAGAGGGATGGCAGGAGACAAATTGCTTGATCATTGTCTTCGATCCACCCTCTCTGGGGCACCTGGTGCTGGCCACTGTCAGCAGACAGGATACTGGGCTAGATGGACCTTTGGTCTGACCCAGTACGGCCGTTCTTATGTTCTTATGTTGCACACTGCCCTATTTGAAGTAGAATTTGTGCCCGGACCAACTCAGCCTTATGAATCTATTTCATTTACAACAGATACAAAGAGTATAACTGAACTGCACTCGTTCACATAATCCGACTGCATTACCTTTTGTGCTGCCTACTAAACAGCCAAAACAGGTGGGTCTGTTTCTTCCTGCCCACTTAGGGCTAATCACTTAGGGCTTGGATTCCATTCTGACAGTCCTACAAGCCAGAAAACAGGTGTTGCTGGAGTTAATACATCAAATATTTGGGGCAAATTCATCCCGGGTGTAACCTCCCTACAAATAAGGGAGACATGGCTGGATGAATTGGAAGGGTCACATGCAGGCAATATACGTACTGTAGAGGTCAGATTTCACTGTGGTAATAAGATGGATGGGCATGGGACATGATCCATTTCTGATTCAGTGGCAGCTGCCCCATTTTGTGGCGCTGTCTCTGTAGTCTCTTTCTCCCCCGAAGCTATGCCATTTTACAAGTCTCACTCGGTGCATCTTCCCTTTCCTTCCCAAATATCCCACGGAGGGGAGAGGGGACGAGGAGCGTTTACATAGCAGCATTATTTCGGAATAACTAACGTTATTCTGAAATAACGTCAGGCATGTCTACACTACAAGCCATTGTTCCGAAATAATGTCGAGTTGGAGGACTTCCTACTCCGATTCACGGTAACCCTCATTCCACGAGGAGCAAGGGAAGTTGGAAGAAGAGTGCTCTTCCTTCGACTTCCTGTTCTGTCGACAGCACCAAAAGCTGAGTTGAGCTATTTCCACTTCAGCAATGCAATTGACATAGATGGAGTTGCGTCACTTAATTCGACTTTAGCCCAGCTGTATGGACGTGCCCAGGGCCGGCCTTAGGCCGATTTCCCCAAATCGGGCCCTGTGCCTAAAGGGGCCCCGCGCCCTGAAGCCGGAAGTGTGCCGGGTACGCTGCGGGAGGGGGTGTTGGCTGCCTGCACTGCAGGAGGTGTGGGGGGCAGGGTGTTTGGCGGGGGAGGTAGCTGGGGATTTTGTGTGTGCTGGTTTTTTTTTTTTTTTTGGCTCAACCAAAATTCCTGGGGCTCCCATTGAAACTTCTGTGTGCTTTTTTTTTTTTTGGTCAACCAAATTTGCTGCGGGGCCCTGTCAAAATTGTTTGAATTGGGCCCCGCACTTCCTAAAGCCGGCCCTGGACGTGCCCATGGAGAATGTAAACGCAGCTGTTTCTGGTGCTGCATTCAATCTCTCTTCCTTAATAGCGTCTTTGTCCACCCACCACCTCTCTGTAGGTGGAGGGATGCCACATAGTTTTACGTGTTTCCTTCACGCATGAAGGTTTTTGTGCCGCGTTTATCAGAAAATCATTCCTTGATAAGAAGTGCCACCAACCATTTCTCTTCAGACGGTTAAAGAAACATTCCAACACTATTGTTGCCTTTCCCTCTATAAACACATACTCTGCTCTGATGCGCTTTCATTAATAACTTCCTCTAATATTCAAAGCAATGGCTGCTTTAACCCCTGAGATGCACATCCACTCCAAACCCTGAGGCCTGTCCAAGGCCGGTGTTTTTCCAGAAAGCGTTTTTCCAGAAAGCGTTTTTCCTCAAGACAATGCACGTTGTAGATATGCAGGTGCAGATGGATTTTGCCCAAAGAGCTGGCTTGGTTGTGACTTTCATTAGACATCATCACATCTCCCATTTGTATAGCCCATCAAACGCCATGAGACACTGCGGATACATCTACACTGCACGATTCCAAAATAGCTTATTTCAAAATAGCCCGTCTACACTGCAGGGAAGCCTCAAAATGAATTCGAGGCAGTTTTCCCTAATGTAGACGTGCGATCTTGATTTAGAGCCCCAGGAGGAATAACTTAGAATGGCCCTGGTGAGGGGCTATTTCGAAATAGCAGCAGTGGGGCGTCTACACACGCCTTATTTCGAGATAGCTATTTCAGAATAGGCGTTATTCGTAGATTGAGGTTTAGAGAAGTTGGAATAAGCCGTCCGTTATTTCGAAATTATTTCGAAATAACGGAATTGCTGTGTAGATGCTCCCATAGTTATTTCAGAATAACGGCCGCTATTCCAAAATAACTTTGCTGTGTAGACACACCCTGAGTGATAGGTTACCACCACTGAGCTGGAGTGTTGCAAAAGAATGAAGCAGGCGCACGAAGGATCGTGGCTATGAGCCAAATTGACCAAGGACGCAACTCCATGCTCCAGGAATACCCAAATGGCTGGCTGCCAGATGCTGGGACTTGGATGACAAGGAGATGGATTGCTTGATAAATTACCCTGTTCTGTTCATTACCAGATGCTGGAACTTGGATGACAGGGGGATGGATCGCTTGATAAATTACCCTGTTCTGCTCATTGTCTCTGAAGCTTCTGGCACCAGGCACTGTTGGAAGACAGGCTATACAGTTAGGTGGATTGTTGACCTGACCCAGCATGGCCATTCTTAGATTTGAGAGCACTTCCCAGCTGAGACTTGCAGGAAAAATGGTTCGTGTCTCCAGAGATATTTTACATAACTCTGGTGCCCTGGCACGATACATCCTACAAAACAACCTGCTCTTGCCAGAAGTACCATGTGATTTTTGAATGAGTCATGTCTGAGCGAAACTTTGGCTTCATATGTCATCTGAAAATTGCCACCTTCCGCAGCAAAGTGCCCTCTAGCACCAGGCTGGGACACTATGGCCACGTCTCCACTTGCCAAGCTGGAGATGGATCTTCTGGTGTTCAATTTAGTGGGTCTAGTAAAGACCCACTAAATCGAACACTGAGGATAACCCCAGTCGGCACCGGTATTAGTCGTGAGGAGTAAGGGAAGCTGATGGGAGTGTTTGCTCTCATTGGTCTCCCACTGCGAAGATGGCACCAAGCTCATCTTAAAATATGTTGACTCCAACTATGTTATTTAGGTAGCTGGAGTTGCGTACCTTAAGTTGGCCTTCCAGGTCTAGTATAGACCTGGCCTAATTCAGTATCGACTTACAAGAAAGTTAATTCCCAACTATATTTTCAGCAGTTCCCAGGACGTCTCCAACCCAACTACTAACCGAGTCCACCCCAGCGTGGCTTAGGCACTCTGATTAGACCACAGCCATGGCAGGAAGCACAGAAGACGGATGGACTGAGTAGGAAATATACTTCCTTGCCAATGTCAGACTTAGTACAAACATCACATTTACTGAACCTGCCCTTAGCAATGAGCGAAGCATACAGCTCACTTTTCTCCTGGATGCGTACTGGAAGGAGAAAATACATTTTAAAATGTTGCGCTAATGTTTATTTTCATTGCTCACGGAAGGGGGGGGAGCGGTCCCAGAAGGAATAATGGGACACCCAAAATCAAAGACCACGCTTGAAAACTTTGGCTTATGCAATTTGCCCAAGGTCTTAACATCTGGGATTTAGGCCCTTTTCCTGCCTCATCCACAATCTTGAGTCTAGACATAGAATCATAGGGCGGGACGAGACCTTAGGAGGTCATCGACTCCAGCCCCCTGCTAAAAGCAGCACCAATCCCAGGGGGCCCTATAAACTGAGCACTTGGGCAGCCACCCAGGAGAGATTCAAATGCTGCCCAGATGATTAGCAGAGCACCCACTGCCGCCCGCATGTGTTTCCACGAGTGGTGCACATCTGCCCAGGCCTCGGTGCACATAACAAAATGTATTCCACACATGGATGGAAAAAATTAGAGGGACCACTGAGTCTAGTGCCTTAACAACAAGGCAAGCCTACCTCTTTGGGCAGCCCCTTCCCTCAGTCCATTCACATCCTCTGGCTTGTGCAAGGAATGAAGCCTGTGAGTATGGGTTCCAGCCTCATCCGCCATTCATACACCCCATGAAGCAGGGTGGGCCTCGGGAAAAAACCAGGTTGTGGTTCTGCCTGCCAGGAAGGATGGTATTAGCATTCATACATAGAAGAGGGCAGTGTTATGCATATAAGAGAACCGCCTTCAGCCCGACAACTCTACCCTGTGAGCAGAAGGAGCAGCCCTGCTAGCTCAGCCCAATGGCGACATGGGTGCTGGGGCAGGGCACCCCCTGGCTTCCATCCTCAGAGTTTCTGGGTGCAGCTGGTGAGACCTACCACCACATTCTTTGCTACCCTGCAGGCCCTGATGCTGTTATCTAGGGCCCGGTGCTGCAGCAGGCAGGCACACACACGTGCAAATACCTGCTGAAAGCAAGCCCGGCCAGGGTAACACCTGGTGCACCGTGGAACTGCTGGAGCGGGAGAAATACCTGGCGAGGGCAGGTATTCTGGCCAGCAGTGCATGACAGCTCACAATTTACAAGCTGTCCAGGCGTTCCGTTCCCCAGCTCAAGGGAGAGCAATGTCCCTGCTTCTTGAGCTGTTCCTTCCCCCTCTGCGGATGCTGCTGAACTCACCCAGCTGGGGCAGCGTTTATTTCTGGTTCGTAAAGCTGCTTTGGGGATTGGCACCCAGCACCTTGCCCTTGTGTTTTCAAACCATCCCACCTAAAGGGGGAGACAGCAGGTGAGAGGAGCGACTCTCTAGCTTCCTATTAGGTCATCTCGGCCCCCTCCTTCGTTCAGCCTTTCGCTCCTATACCCACGAGAGAGTCATGCTATATAGGACTGAGCCCGGGGGATGCTGCATGGCTGGGACAGTCGGGAGGTGATCAGGGCAGGTGTCCCGGTGAAGGTGACTCTGAGGTGGGGCGCGGTCCAGCCCACAGTACATTCGGCACCACAAGATACCTCAATTTATGCCAACAGCAACGTGCCCTGGACCCGAAACTGGCAATGCTTGCCCAGTGATGCCTCCAAGCCCATGAATACATTCATGAGCATATTTAAAAGCTACTTTTTATAGCTAAAGTGGCTTGTCTTCAGAACAGAGAAAGATACGATTCGTGCAACAGCATCATCTGGGGACAAGAGACGGAATGATGGCTCCAGCTGGTGAGGAATGATGGGGCTGCAGCACCATCTGGTGGGGGGTTGTAGGGCTGGCTCCCACCTTGGAAAGGATTTGATTGCAATCCCATAATTCCAATCCCTGAAGAACCACCTGTACCTAGGGGCCTGTTTTCAAAGGGAATGGATGGGTGACTGAATAAGCACTTGAGTCAATGGCTGCTCATTGGAGAATGCTAGCTAAATAAAGTCTAATACCTTTCAGCCAGTGGCAGCACTTAAAATTAGAACAGATGTATTGGTGCAACCCAGCGATGGGCAGCCGGTGGCCCCTCGGGATTCTGCGTGCAGCCCACAAGGCATTTTGTTGACCATTGCTTACGACCAGGGTTGCCAGATTCTGCTGGTTTCCTTTCACATCGTTTTTTCCCCTACCGGTAGCACTACGATGATACGCATGGAAAAGCGAGGGCACGTGAAGCGAGGTGTGTGCTGACTGCACACAACATAGAATCACAGAACACTAGAACTGGAAGGCACCTCGAGAGGTCATCGAGTCCAGTCCCCTGCCCTCCTGGCAGGACCAAGCACCAATCTTGAACCAAGTATCTCCATCATTGGAGATACTTGAGAGCAGGTTGGATAGATGTCTACCCAACCTGCTCTCAAGTATCTCCAATGATGGTGACTTCACACCCTCCCTAGGCTGTGACTGAGAGCGCCATGTGTTACTTCGTTGCCTTTGCTTCCAATCAAAACATTGCTATGGTTCAAGCAGCACACCCCACTGATTCTAGGTACACAACCGCAGTTAGCAGAACTACCCTCTCCTGGGAGATTGTCTTGGTTATGACAGTCTTACAGGATCACTGCGAAGATGGAGGGCCACTCATGCAGCTCTCTTACTAGCCTGCATTGCCCAGTGCTCGTGTAACTACTGTGCTCTTGACAAGGATTGTTGCATTTTGCCACTCAAGCTGTACACGGGTCTCTTTACTGGTTTAATGTTTGGCTTTGCACACTGATAGGGCTTTGCACACTATATTTTAGTGTAGTGTGTGTAGAAGGCTGCTTGGGTCAATGGATGTTGTATAAATAAAATGTTATGATTAATCATTTTTGTTATGGGGTCAATTATGCCTTCAGTTTGTGCAGTCCTTCTTAGCTGCTCGTTATTCTCAAAGAGAGGGATATTTGTTGTATAGCCAATTCTTAGTCTGACTGCTGCGCTTGAGTTTGCCCAGGTATATTGCAAAACATCTTTTCATGCTTTGGAAGGGAATAGCCGACGCCAATCCTTTGAAACATCACTATCGTGATTCTCAGCCCTGTCACTAGGCTGATTCGTGATTCTCAGCCCTGTCACCACCTTTAGTCCTCTGACAAAAGATAGCCATGCTAGCTAATGACAATAATTCTCTGTGCTACCACCTGAAACATCCATGAGACAACGTGGCTGAGGTACCGTCCTTTAGTGGATCAACTTCCGTCGGTGAAAGAGACACACTTTTAAGCTCCTCCAGAGTTCTTTTTTAGGGGTGGCAGACCTGCGGGGCAGGCAGAATTACAATGGGCAATCGAAGGGGGAATAAGTTTAGATACATGAGTATGTCAGGTCAAGAACCTGCTTCTGCAACATGGCCCAAAATTTGCCATGATTGAAGGAAAATCCGAGTGACAGAGGGTGGCCCAACATGGGAACAGCCCAACAGTAGGAGACACCGTGAATGTCAGAGATAGATGTTCTGTCCATAAATCGAGAATAATCACAGAGGAAACTGAACGAAACTCACTGCGATTGGCTAAAAGCTCATAAAATGCCAACGAACGTCAATCATGTTCAATTTAATTCTTCAATGTAACATCCAAAAGGCAACCCATAGTTACTTATGTTATTGATTTCTCTCATAGTAAAGTGACTTCTCCATATGCCTGGACAGATAATTAGCATTTAATGTACCCTGGGATTTGGGGCTGTATTGATCTGAATAAAAGACATCCAGTAAATGTTTCTTTTATGGGAATGGGGGAAAGGAGAATCAGATTGTGTCTTGTGCACTTAAAACACTTTTCCTTGGTGTAGATATGCCAGAGAAGATAAATCTTGGTCTATGGCTACAGCTAAGGCATCTGAGCTGCAACCAACAGCCAACTGGGGTCTGCTGGAATCAGACACACAAGAAGAGGTTATGCTCTGTGTGTACAGCCATGTCCATAAATGTTGGTGTTCAGAAGAATATGCATCGGCAATTCGGCGCCAATTACAATAATCTGCTCTGCCAATGTCCTTCCACAATGGGCCACCGACATTCCATGCGAGACGAAATGTCAGGCCTGCTCAAGCTTCTGCAATCATGTCCCCAACTCGTGTATGCCAGCTCACAGAGGGAAGATGCAACACAGCACGCGAGCAACAGCAAAGATTATTCCTTGTCCTCTAGTAACTAATGTTCACCCTCCATAAAAGATTCAGGATGAAATTCACTCATGTGCACAGGTCCAATGCACCATGTACGCCCGTAGATAGCACCCATCCATGCAGTGTTCTGGAAATGAGTTAAAACACTTAAAGAGTTAAAACAGCAGAGGACTGGCGCTAGGGATGTGAAGTAGCGATTCATTTTCTAGTTAATTTCCATTGTCTACTCGATAAGCACTTCTGTATTCTGCCTTTGAAATGTACAAGAGCCCCAGCAGGGGCTCTTGTACATTTCAAAGTTGGAACGCTGCGTGGAACCCAGGGCCAGCGGGAAGTCCCACTGAATCAGGGCTCCACGTGAACGCTTCCTCTTTGAAATGCACAAGAGCTCCCACTGGCTCTTTCAAAGCTGGCACACCACATGGAGCCCGGGATCAGCTGGGGATTCAGCTGACCCCAGGCTCCACACGACTTTTCAAAGCGGCAGCACTGCCTGGAACTTGGGATCAGTTGGGGACTCCCGAGCTAACCCCTGGCTCTGTGTGGCGTTGCTGCTTTTAAGTGACCTCCTTCCCAAGAGGACTGCTGCAATCCAATGCAGATTCCACCTCTGTGTTTATCACCCCAACTGCACCATACAGCTGCACATCCCTCCAACATATTTTGTTGTTGTTGTTTGCAAAGCACCACAACACACGGTACAGGACAATCGCGACTCTGGCAATTTATTTGATCACATCACAAAACATGAGCATTGTTACTTTTGATTTTTCTAACTGGCGTGATCCCCACATAATGGAATAAAATTTCTATTATTGAAAACCAGGAGGTCAAGACAGAGGAAAAGAACCAGCTCGATATATAAATTTGTGCCTCGCACATTTTCCTCTCTAATATCTTGTACAGAAAGCTGAGTTGCTGTAACTTTTTTCCAACTTCAGTAGTGCAGGAGCCTTAAAGTGCACATAAAAAGAGACAGGAATGGCTCACTGACAAACCTGTAGTTACTAATCTCAGCGGATGGAACCAGGAAGCTGAGATTTTTAACCAAAAGCTAGTGCAGGTTGTGTTTGTACAGACCGCTGCCATGTGGGTAGATCTATAGGTACAAATCGGGATCTTTTGTTAAAGTTTGTGGTTGTACAAACAGTGTCGAAGTTACATTGTAGACTTGCAATTCCAAATTCACATAGAAAAACGCTGTAGGGCAGATGCTGTTCATTTGTGTTTCAGGTTGGGATATCACAGATGAAGTGACCAATTTCCAAAAATACACGCATGACAGTTTCTACCCCGGCCTGTTGTATTTTCAGTTCTACACGCTGGCAGAGCCCATGACACGGATGCATGAGCAAAATTATTTTAGTGCCGTCAAACTAAGTACTCTGCAACTACACTAGACCTGGAAGGTCAGGTTAAGGTACACAACTCCAGCTATGTAAAATACATAGCTGGAGTCAGCTTACCTTAAGCCGAGCTTGGCACGGTCTTCACAGAGGAAGGCCAACCTTGTGACTACCAGTAGCAGCGCCGGATGGAGCTGCCCTCAGCGTTCAATTTACACATCTTAACTAGATCCACTAAACTGAACGCCAGAAGAGCAATCTCTGGCGTGGCAAGGGAAGACGTGGCCTACGAGGGCCAATTCGCTGTTCAGGGCCTTGTACCACGCTCAGCATCAACATACCTAAGTACTGCGATTCTCTGCTCCTCACGTTGATACTGGTTCTCTATATTTTACTTTTCCCTCTGAATTTTACGATGAAAAAATACAGCTTTTTTGTTCCTACTTCATAATCAGCACAAACCACAGATATACAAACTCTATTTACAAGGGTAATTGTATTAACATTAGACTCTGGATGGCTTTCCTGCCACACTCCAACCCTGCATGTATACGGTATTGTATAGATCCATACCACACCCAAAGCTATACACACTACTGGGGAGAGTGCACCTGTGTATTTGCATATACACTTCTCTATCTCTGGAAGCTCCTACAATCAGACGTTAGGCACCTGTGAGTATGTGCGAGCTACACTTTAAAAATACAGTACTTCAATTACAAGCGAGTGAAGGGAGGTGCCTTTCTGCTCTTGGGCACCCAGGGGGCTGAGCGGAACGGATGGGATGGAAGAACATGACGTTTAAATAAACGGCATCCAACGCCAAGGCAAAGCAGGTGTGTCGTGGGACCGTCAGTGGCTCTGACACAAAGGAGCGTGATGACAGCCGATACGTTGTGGGCGTTATCCCCCGAGTGACAGCTCCTAGGAGGGAGGGAAAGTTGTGCTATTCCAAAAGATAGACCCAGGCAGGTGGGAGATACTTTCACTAGACAAGAAGGACTCTGCTTTCCCCACCCCGCAGGACCCTCGCCTGGCGATCCAAGTTGGGGGATGGGAAGCACCAAATTTGCACACCCACCCCTGACAGTCCGGCGAGCCCGTGTGAGAAGCTGCAGCTCCTGGCGCTAGGGCCTCAGTTTCCCCTCCTTCACTAATCTCTCGTTGAGCTGGCAGAGCTGCTTCAGGAAGCCATCGTTGGGGCCAATCTCCCGCTTCTGCCGCACGGCGCTCAGCGCCGACTTGACATCCATGTTCTGGCGCAGCATCAGGTACGCAATGACCAGCGTGGGGGAGCGGCTGTAGCCTTCGCGGCAGTGCACAAACACCCGGCCTGCACGGGGAGAACACACCGCAAACAACAGGTTACAAATGAGACTACGGGGGGGACTCACGTTTGGGGGCGGGACGAATGAATGTGGGTCCGCCAGCAGCCTGGCCACTGAGTTTTGAATGGTCTCAGCTAGACATCCGATACCGAGTCTCTGGTAGCAGCCACACCAGCCTGCAAAGCGGGGGTGTGAACGGTTAACCGGTACGCCATACGCAGGGGCTGTTCCAGCCTCTCTGTGCTGCGGGGGCTGCAAGCAGAGGGTGCGCCGGCCAGGCTGGAGCAGCTCTGGCCTCCGGCGGGGGGCTACTCCAGCCTGCCCACTCCCCCTTTAATTGGTTAACCCGTTAAACATGAGGTTAAACCAATTAAAGGGGATGTTACATCCCGACTGCAAAGCAATTGTACATCGTCCACCTTCCTACTGAAAGCAGAAAATACCGTATTTGTCGCCAAAGAGAGAGGAATGGGACTCCTTTCAATCATTCGGTCTGGAATCAGGTTAGCAGCCTGCAGGACTTAGTCCTGGGGGAATTCTGCAATTGCTCCCAATGCAGCAGTTGCAGTGTCCCCCCAGGACTAACGACTTCCTAACTCTGGGGTGGGCAATCATTTTTGCAGGGGACCACTTCAAGAATTTTGGTTGTGGTCGCAGGCCGGCTCCGCCCCCAGAAAAGGCGGGGCCTCAGGCGGAAGGGGCGGTTCCCTCTCGGCACCACGCCCCTCTGGAAGGGGGAGGAGACTTCATGTATGCCCCCACTCCCAGGCCAATTGGGCTCTGGGGGTGGGAGAGTGCATGAAGTCTCTCACCCCCCCACCCCTCTCCGGCTAGGCACTAATCCCTTTCAGTACTCCTTCCTAGGCAGTCTCTTCCCATTCCGTACGTGTGAAATGGATTTTTCCTTCCTAAGTGGAGCACTCTGTATTTGTCCTTATTAAACGTCATCCTATTGACCTCAGACCATTTCTCTAGTTTGTCCAGATCACTTTGAATTTTGACCCTTTCCTCCAAAGCACTTGCATCCCCTCTCAGCTTGGTATCATCTGCAAACCCAATAAGCATCCTTCTCCATGCCATCACCTACATCTAAGTCATCATACCAGGGCTTCCACTGGAAAATGTTTAAAATAATTTGGTGTGGCACATCTCAGAATCAGATAAGCCATCTGAAGTGAGAGTTCCCAGAGCTAAAAACCTGGCTTGGGGACTGATTTTTTGTTTGTTTGTTTTTTAACCAAGCAGCAATCTGGTTTATTCAAACCTGAGACAGCTTTTATCAACTGTTTGGATTGTCTGACCAGTGATAGTGTTTGCAACCAGGATGGGAAAATGTCACCCTTTCTCTCTCTTCCACAGACATATTTAATCTGAGGCGCTGTTACACCAATTCCCAGTTATCATTTCTTGTTCAGGAACACAGGTGCTACTTCAACACCTTCTGCAGAGTCTTTTGGATTACTTGGCACTCAACTTGCCTTACACCTTCAAAGCACTGAACAAACATTAATTAACTAGCCAATTAGCCCGTCATAAAATGGGATTTTCAGGTCTCTTCTCTAAGTCCTATTCCATTTCTATCTCGGTCTTCTCTCCTGAGCCTCCGGTCTCTCGCTCTGTCTCTCTCTCTCTCTCCCCTCGTCCGACTGCCTCCCCCCTCTCTCAGAGCTCTCCTCCATCTCCTGCCTCTCTCTCCATCTCTCTTTCTCTTCTCCCCCTCCTGCCTCTCATTCTCTCTTCTCCTCCTCCTCCTGCATGAGGAGCGTGGAGTCTAAACAGCAGTTTGCGCCGCTTGCTCCCACACAGCAGCCCGGCTGAGCGGCTGCCTATGAGCTCCAGCTGCCTCCCTGCACTGTTTCCCTTCACCGTTTCTCTTCACCCCAGCACTGATCCTGCAGCCTCCCAGTTCTCCTCCACCTCCACGTCCCCCTTGTTCCCCCACCCTCTCCCCGGCCAGGGTCTGTTCACGGCCAGGGGGCGGGGCCTGGAGCTGCTGTCACACCGCACGTCACTGCCCCGCCCCCTTCGCCTCCCGCCGTGGCGCTCGGCTGACTTCTGTGCCGCTCAGCTGGGCCGCTGCGGGGGAGCAAGCAGCCATTTGGGGGCTGCGCTCCCCATGCAGCATCCCCGCAACAGCGCCCCCCCAGAGGCAGCACATAACACTACAGCATTACAGAGTCAGAGACACTGGGCTACTATATATATGATGCTCTTGCACTTTCACTCACATGGAGAACTGTCACATTCAGCTCTGGAGAAGATTAACCCTGCCCTTGGGACAGGCTTTGGGTGTGGCGCAGTGGGGGGGCTGTCTGCTCTGTAACCCGGGGCCCCCCTGCGTTGTGAGGTGCGATTCCCACTGACTCACCCACATGTTGTGATGTAGTGTCAGTCCCTTGCTGGTTGCTGTGCTTGGGTTGTGGGCTGTGAATGACCCCTACAGGCCTTTGCCTGTGAGCACTGCCCAGTATGGGGGCTGCCTAAGTCACGTGGACAAAGACTCAACCGGTCAGCCGAGTTGAGGCAGCGAGGGAACTAGGGAAGTGAGTGTTGGGGGGAAGGGTCAGTCTTGGGCTGGAATCGTGAAGGAACCAATCTAAGGAGGGGGGCTGGAATCGAGGAGGCCAGGGACCCCATCTCAAGGGGGCTGAGGTATTCTGGCCCAGACTCCTGTAGACACATCACGTCTATGCGGTGGTGTATCCTGGAGAAGCAATAAACCCCCTCTATTCTACCGGCTGGCGGAGTCTGTTCTTGCTGCTACCGGGGTGCGGTGTTGGGGGAACCCCTACACGTCCTCACATTGGGGCGTTGGTAAAGTCTGTAATCTTCTCCTGAGGGTCCCAATTCATGTCTTTCTAGAGGCTGTCTCAATTGGTGTGATTTACACCTTCCTTCTGTACCACCTGTACTTCTGTGTTACAGAATCTCAGAAGCAAAATGCAGGACAATGTAGCACTTTAAAGACTAACAAGATGGTTTATTAGATGATGAGCTTTCGTGGGCCAGACCCACTTCCTCAGATCAAATAGTGATCTCAGACCGTGTAATTTGCACCCAGTTCTATATGTCGACTCCCACTTTAACCCAAAAGTAAAAGAGTACATTGATGCGCAGGGGGTTCTAACGGCATGTACAGTCAAGATCCGCGGTGGGCAACCAAGGCGACTCTGTGGACCGCATGAGGGGCCTTCCTTCATTTCAGTGGGCCACGAGATCGTTGTAACCAAGATGGTCTCCCAGATGGGGGTAGTTTTACTAACTGTGGTTGCGTCCCTAGAATTTGTAGGCTGTGCCAATCAGGGCCGGCTCTACGGAGCGCGGGGCCTGATTCCGGGGGCGGGGCCGCACATGCGCAGGGCCCCATGCCGGGGAATCGGCTGAATCGACCTAAGGCCGGCGCCTTCTGCATCCAACCATAGAAGCACATTGGTTGGGTTGTGGGCTGTGAATGACCCCTACAGGCCTTTGCCTGTGAGCACTGCCCAGTATGGGGGCTGCCTAAGTCACATGGACAAAGACTCAACCGGTCAGCCATAGAAGCGCACTATGGATGCAGAAGGAGCACACGGCTCTCACGGTCAGTGTTGTGAGCAATCAGCATGCCCCTCCCTTCACATGCCTTGCTTTACGCATGTCTCTTTAGTAATACCGGTGTGGGGGGGGACGACTCTGTGGCTAGAAACCAGTGGAACCTGACAACCTTGTGAGTGGGAATCAGTAAACAGAATGTCTTGTGGGCCACACATAGAACCCTCGGGCCGTAGGTTGCCCGCCCACTGGTCAAGATGGCCACTCACTCTCCTCCTCCTTAGTTACAAACCTGTCTTCCTTGCATGGTTCACCTAGGAGTAGACTGGGTCATTTTGTTGGTTTGTTATTACTGTTAAAATGGGGCTGAGAATCTGAATGCAAAAGCACGCCGAACCTTCAAGTCCCCAAGATTTCTGCCTCTCGTGTATCCTCCTCAGGCTCCTGTGCTATGGTTTCCACCTCAGCTACACGTGAAGGCATCCCCAGAGGAGAAAGGAGCCGTGAGGAGTCACTTGTGCAAAAATATCAGTGATTCCCCGGACACGCACAAAACCTGTTGCCTTTGAGCTGCAGTTTTTGGTCTTGAATTCCACTGTCCTGCTTTCTGAGCATTCAGGCTGCATCTAAAGATGACTGAGCGCACATCGGACGATCCATGAATCCAGCCTGTTTTGGGTGACTGGGCTGCAGAGAGCAAATGCTGTTCAATATAGGAAAGTATTAATGCATCTGTGAGAAAGGAACCGTCTGGGAAAATCCTAGCATGACTCCTCATTTCTAGCTGCGGGTCAGGGAACAGGATTTGCAGGGGGAAAGAGAGTAAGTGAAAAGCATTGAACATGGCAGAATGAGGGTGTGGGGTATTTTTTCCCCCAAAACAAACACTAAAGTCAGCAAAATGCACTGGAACCTCTTTAATCGGACACACCCTGGGAAACAGTTTTTGATGGAGAGCATAGGGGGATGGGTGTGGGGTGCTTACTTGGAGGCCTGCCGCTCCCAGGCTCTGCCCCCTGCCACTATGGGAATGACGGGGAAAAGCCTCCGGCCAAGCACGCCACTTTGTTGCTGTTCTCCCAGCTCTGCAGAGGGGAGAAAAGCAGCACACAGAGTCACTTTCTCCTCTCATACCACTGGTACTCCCGAAGTTGAGTAATTCCTCATTTAACACTATGGATATGTTTCAGAAAATGATCGTGTTAAGTGAAAACGTTATGCAGGGTCAGTTTTCCCATTGAAAATAATGGAAAAGGTGGGGGTTGTGTTTCAAGCGGTGGTGTCTGTTGGGACCAGGACATAAGGTTGGGGGAGAAAGGGGACTGGGTTACAGCAGGGAGGGGAGGTGTTTGGCTCTGGGAAAGGGAAGGAGAGGAGAGGGGAGGGGGATTGGGTTGGGAGTATGCCCGTGACGGGTCTGCCGGGACCTGCACTGCGTCCAGCGAGGGGAGGTCACTGGGGAACGGCGCGGTGAGCAGTGAACCCTCCGCCGCTTTGCAGGGAGGCGGGGGAAGCCCCGCGCAGCCGCCGGCGACGGGCCGGCTGGGGAAATCGTGTTATTCCAGGCACAGTCATGTAATTCAAAAACGGTTCCCTAAAAAAAATCGTGCTATTGCGAAAATGTGTTAAGCGGGCACGTGTTAAATGAGAGATTACTGTATTCCACATAGGCAGCTGCCACATGGATGTTAAGTGACCATGAACGGGAGAGCAGATGCTTTGTATGATTTGCATGGAAGAGGAGCAGCCGCAAAAACAGTCTCTAACGAGGGTGTCCATATATTGAATGTGTTTATAAACCGCTGGTGCGCAGGTACAATCCTACAGTGCATGGTCCAAGAACGGCTTGGGAAAACATGTTTGAAACCCAAATTCCTGAGGGCAAGGGGCGGGCAAGGATGACCGCTGATGTGCCGGGCTGGGGGTATTATCTTATTTCCTGAATTCTTTGCTTCTGGAAAGAACAGAGGGGGTTTAAAAAAAAAAAAAGGATATTCCCTCTGAGCCCTGTGCAAATAGGGCCGTTGACCAAGGAAACAGAGGCTCAGAATGGACGGGGGGGGGGAAAATGTACAGATCGCAATTTAATTGATTTTAGTTGCCTTTGTGTGAAGCCTTGCCTAATAGCAGGAGACCAGAGAATTCCCTCACAGTCATTTACATCAGGGGTGGCTGTCTTCCTGGAGGGGGGGGGGGGGGGGCGCTGGCAGC